GAAGAATACACTATTTTTAATTAAAGGAAATGCGTTTTTCTGAGGCACATAAACTTTTGGGATTGACTGTATAGCCAATACATCCCTAATTGGTAGAAAAATTCGATGTTCATGCCTGACATAATTTACATTTCCCAATTCGGCATTTACAACATATTACGAGAGGATCGAGAGTGGTTAGAAATTTTCAGATAGCTACGAATAAGTCCACATCGCCTTCCTTCATGCTCGAATACCAATCATCTTTAACCAATCATCGTAGAGTCAATGAAACGAGGACGTACAGGTTTTGGACGCATGCTGGAATCTATTAAACGATTTCGTTCACGTAACTGTAGAATCTTATAACGTCACGATTTTATTTGAAAAACGATATTCGCCACGTTTGCAAATTTCGAATGAATTTTCAGACACGAAACAATTCGCGAAAAACATGGGATTCGATTTAAGGAAGATGCATACGACCGAAATAGCTGCGGCATGAGAATAGCAACGATTCGAAATAAATAGGCGATCGTCGAATTCTATTGCGCAGAATTTGTGAAACGGTTTGTAAACTGTTCGTTGAAACGTAAAAACTCGTGACCGATGCCACAGTTTTGTAACTAACACAAATATTCTTTAAAGGAATAATTACAAGTCGAAGTGATATTGGTGAAAAACGATGAACTTGTCACTGAAGCGATACACGTGGCTAGTACGAACTCGTTCGAGGTTGTCTAATAATACAGAAGTATGAATAATACTAAATAGGAATATGACAATGCAAATATCGGTAAATTATCCGTTACGCAATCCTTTCTAAAGAATCACTATCGAAATTATTCTGCGAAACGTTTGAACAACCAATTGAGACGTATTACTGGTAACGTTCGCCGTATCGATTTCCCAAGGACGAAAGGAAAAATGGGTCTTTCCTTTCGAAAAAGGGGAACACGTAGAAAGTGAGATCACGTTCGTAGATCGCGTTCGCGAGAGTCTATCGCGCGAGAACGGAGTCGTACGAGCGAGGGGTAACCTTGATAAGATGCGACGTAGGATAATGCGAGTCCCGCATTTACAGACCGGTTTTCTCATTGAACACCGCGGCTGAAAATAACCTCGTGCCGTGTAATTCAGTCGTTTAAAACGCGACCCGAAAACCGAACGATGCGTTAAGGGGATGCGTACCACCGTGGCTCGCGCCGAAATTCGCGATGACCCGCCACGTGGACCAAGTTTCTCTTGACATCTCGCCAACATCTTTCCGCCCTGAGCCAACCTCTGCTCATCTTCTGCACAGTCGCTCATCATCTCCTGTGAACGTCGTTCGATTAAACGCGTTCCTCTGTTCGTCGTCCGGCGACAGTTTCAAGACGAAAATAAGGGTTCGTTTGTTATAAATTCTCAGATCGATTCTCCTTGCCGGGAGATTTATTGCAGAAGAAATCTCGACCTATTAGGTTGGGGAATAAGTTCATAGCGTTTTTATAATTTCTTTTATTTTACAACGATTTGTTTGCTGTTTGGCAACGGGTAAGTATTCATTCGATAGAACTCTTTCTGCTCTACAA